TCTATACCAAAAACTTCCCTTCGTTTGGGCCTCTTAAAATCAGATATTTTTTAAATCCTGATATAAATAATTTATTAAAAATAACAAAGAACTGAAGAATGTGAAAAATTATTTCAGCTCTCTGAGTGCGTATTAAAATTTGCATCAATAATTTTTTATTACTAGAATCTTCTGTAATTTCCTTGTAAATTTCATAGTTTTCATATATTTTTTAGTTAGAGTTGCTTTTCAATGGTACAAAAAAAAATTAAAATTTGTACCTCTTTACAATATTTCGGGAGTGAATTTAATCCTGCTAATTTTAGTTTTATTTATAATTTTTAAGGTAAACAATTCTTTTTTTTTATATTTCAGTTACTGAAGACTTAAATAATATTTTATCTCATTTTGAGAAGTAGAATTTGAATTATAAATTTTTTACAAGTTTTCCATATTTAAAAATAACCCTAATAATAAAGCAAAAAGTCACCCTACAATTCAACCTTCCGGCGATTTCGCAATTTCTCGTTTGTATTTTTTTCTTCTCTGCTTTGCCCTCCGTTCCAATTAATATATGGGGTCAGCGGCTGTGAACTCGTCAATAAATTAGGAATTTCTTTTCCTCGGCGCTCGCTCCCTAATGAAAGGGAAAAATCGACACGCTATATGTATGAGCGGCCAATATTAAGAAGATCGATTTAGATTAATGACTGATGACCACCGCGCCTTTTTCCTCCCTTTCTCGCGCCGGACGTCTTTCTCTATCTCGGTTAGGAGGAAGAAGAAGAAAAAAAGAGGAAAATATAACCGCCTCTCTGCTTTATAAATAATTTACGGCTGGGCCCCACCGCTGATCTGCATCTCGAGCTTCATCAAGGCGCTCTCTCTCGTCCGCCCGCCCGCCCGCTCCTCGCACCACATTTTTATATGCCGATATTGATTTTTATTCTCGCACCACACGCCTGCCTGCTCTCTGAAAAAATGTGTGCGCATGTCAAAATATATATTATATTATGTACAGCAGTGTTAGGTGACTGCTCGGTGTTGGAGTTGAGAAAAAAAATTGTGTATAAAATGTATGTACGGATTTTAACTCCGGAGAGAGAGACACAAAGGTGTGGAATATTCTCGCGCGCCCGCTTTTTTCTTACACCTCTCTCATTCTCTCCAGCACCGTGCACTTGAATTACATAAAAATTAAGTACATTCTTCCACTTGTTTTGTGGTGGATCGCACCACAACCGTCGACGACACTGGCGGGGCCGACGACCTTTCGAGTCCGCCAAAGTGCGCGACTTGTAATAACGAGTGCACACAACACCTTTCAACGGTTTATTTTCAATTTTCTCAAGAGTATAATTGCTTTTTTTAAATAACTTTAAAAGGTGATCGGTACTTTAAATGAGGTAAGCAAGCAACTTGCAACGTTCAAATTTTAATTTATTGATCATCATGTCTTGGTTTTTAATTTAAAAAACTTTTGATTTTTGTACGTAAATAATTTTTAATTTTTTTAATAATTTATTTTATAAAATACTATCAATACATTATATATTAGTCATGCCTTTCTCAGAATAAGATAAAATGGTAAATAATTAGAAATTAGAATAAATTATAAATTTATCAACGACATATTATAATTGCATCTTATTCGTCTGGAAACAATATAAAATAAATTTTTCATTCGATTGTCAGTTGCGTCCTCTCCGGCTCATGTCAGATGCTAATGACCAGCTCATTAAGCTTGAAGGTGAAAGCACAAATATACATATATGCCCGGGTAATATGCAATATCATACACTAATCATCACGCACCGATGAGAAAAATCCAAACGCAGCAACGTGCTTAGTAATAATGATCACAAAATATATATAATTCCTCCATCGCCTAGCAACAAGCTGTGCGCTCAAATTGTGTTATTGTGTGTCTTTTCCACGTCCAGCATCACTCACTCACGACTTTGGAAATTTAATAATCCACCGCGCTCGCGCATTAATTTTTAATAGCAATCACACAGCACAATATCCCTCCCTGCCCGGCTTAATTCTCTCTCCAACTCGGCCAGTATATTCCGTATCAAGGTCGCCATACAGAGTGATGCTGGCAGAGGCTAAATTTTATTATAATAACCGGCGAGCCGCGTGCACACTCCTGCTTTTTTGCTCAATTATTGTGAAACAATTCAATTGAATTTTAATTGAACCGTGCCAGCCTTGGGAGAGCAGAGGAGGAGAAAATCAGCGAAAAATACTGCATAACCCTCGACCGAATAGGTGGCAAAAAACTCATTACCTGCGCTGGTCGAACATTATTATTTTTTTTTAGCACGGGACCTTCTCTATAAATCTTTTGGCGGGAGATTTACCGAAACAGGTTTTGACGTTTGAAATTTTTTGAAAATATTTTTTGTCTTTTGAAAGCGATAAAGTAGCGTTTTCCTTTGGTTATATTTTTGTAATCTTGTAAAAAGTGATCGAACATGAAAGTGTTTAAGCAAAAACACTGCACAAAAAGTTTTTAACGCGCCCCACCCTGCTAATTAGCATTCCCGCAGCTCGCGCGGCGCGATGAGGTCTCTCTTATTTAAAAACATTGTGCCTGAAAATGTCGTCGCTCTCGAGTTAAAAACTCGCATCCTTCTTTGCTTTTTCACTCACTCGTCCCTCTCTTTCCGCCTCAGTCAGCGCGGCCGGCGCTGCCTTTAATTGTCTTTAATTAATGCCGGTCGAGCGTGATTCGATCGTTTAAGAGATGATGCTGCTGCGTGTGTTGTAATTAATTGATGACTTCAGCAACAAGCACGGTCTTTTAAGCTTAGTCCACGATCAAATTTTTGTTCGCGCGAACTTTGGTCGCGCGACCACAAGTTCGCGCGAACTTTTTCGGCAGTCGCATGAAGCGTCCACGATCAGATTTTCTTCGGAATATTGAGCGCAGCTTTTATTGGTTGTTGATTTAAAATAGAGACGCGAAAAGTCTCGTGATGATTACAAAAACAAGCAATCTGAGAAATAAAATAATGGACCTTTTTTTAAGTTATAAGGAAATCAACAAAAAAAATTAGAAATTGAAAATAATAATATTTATTTTCAAATTTTATTATATTTTTATTTTTAGAATTTATTGATAAGAATTTATATTTTTCATAAGAAATTAAAAAAAATAATTAAAAAAATGGCTCGCTAAAAGTTTCTCGAGGACCAAATTTTAGCTCGAGTGCCAACTATTTCAATCTAATTTTTTTTTCAACAAAGGAATTTTGAGCTTTTTATTTTTTATTTATTTTAATTTTTTCCATTGTTTAAAAAGATAATTGTTCGATGCAAAAATTCAATTGTTGGACACAATGGCTAGAAATAATTTTAAAACAAAATCCAAGAAGCACGCGGGTTTTAGATCGAAATCTACCAAAATTTTCACAGAGTTTATTTATTTATATAATTTTTTAATTTTCATGACACTATAACTTTTAAAACATGATAATTGACAGGGAAAAACAAATTTAATAATAAACAGACGGTTTTATATCAGTAAAACAAATAGAACAAAACATTTTTATCGCGCGTGGGAATGATTTTTTCAAACCTGAGGTAGGTGAAATTTTAGATAGAATGTGATTCATGTAATTAATTTAAGTTAGAAAACTTATCCTTCTGGTATTTACAGCTTTTCTATCCATTCATTGCGACAAAACAATTCTTTTTTCACGGAGTCAAAGATAGTTTTGAAAATAAAAACAATCCGTCGCCATGCAGTCGATGCCGTCGGTCGGCAGCAGAAGAAGAACCACTCCCACTTTCAGCGGCGCATGCGCGAGCTTTTTCGTTCATACGAATTCGCACGAGTTGAATCCAGTTCAACTCATACGAATTCGTACAAAGTTTGTGCGACCACAAATTCGTTCGTACGAACTTGATCGTGGACGCTCAATGCTATTCCCATACGTTTAACTCGCGCGACTGCGACCAAAATCTGATCGTGGACTAGGCTTTATAATATACGCACGTTAAAATAAATACGGCGACCTTCGTCGTCCGCCGAGCAGAGAATTCATTATTTAACACACACCGCGCGCATAATTTTTTGCACATACACTTTTTTGAGATGGAGAGAGAGAAATAAAGAATACAAGGGGATCCAGAGTGTATTAATGTATGTACATTTCAAGTCTCGCCCACACCTTGATTATATATTTGGCAAGAGTGCTGCAAAAAGAGTTAAGGGCATGTCAATAAAAAATTGTTGATTTTATTTCAGACTGGAATAAAATAAAAGTGATGATGGAATTTCAGATAATTCTATAATAATTTATTCTGGTTTTAAATAAATAAATTTACATTTAATACAATTTAAAATAAATTATTAATATGCAAATTTATTTATTTATTTTGTTTATTAAAAATCATTGCGTCTTACAATGATTTTGTTAAAAAAAAACAGTTTTTAATAATAATTCAAGGAATGACACTTAATTGGATTCACTTCTTTTTTAGCTTTATTCTCCCGATTTTCTTTTTTTTTTAATTATTCTAATATTTTTTTACCAAGAAAAAATCTATTTTCAGAAATCTCTTGAAGATGGAAAGAGATTTATCTTAAATTTTGTAATTTGGAAAGAAAGTAGATGATTTTACTCATATTATAAATAATCACCTTTTAATTAACTTTGTTTTCAAATAAATTTCTTTTACCAGAATGAAACAGACAAAAATTAATTAAATATTTAGGAATATTGAATTCAAAATTGTATCAAAAGTATAAACAAAATTTGTGCCAACATAATGAAAGAAACAAAATATTTTATCAACCTATAATAGCGATAAATTTATTTATGTCCCACAAATTTCTTATATCAACCACGAATTTCATATAGAAAACTCCTTTGAACCTTTAACAAGGATTACAATTAAAAAAAAAATTACTTTATATCACATTTTTTTCTGTTTATTTTTGTATAAATTGATTTCCATTTTCTCTAAATATTTGTGGAATTAATTTAATTATTTCTCTCTTGTTTCAGGAGCTGATTGACGTTCATGAGATCTTTTTTGAATTGCAAACGACGCCATCATAACGTTTTGTAAGTAAATTGCTGACAAATTACTTAGCTCGTTAAATTATGCTTTGATAAGAGCTTCGAACTCACTCACCCTTGGCAGCATAATTTCTGCTGGCTCATTACCTATAGCGGCGCTTTTAAAATTAATTAGGTGCTAATTTGGCAGAGGGCAGCAACTTAATCCTATATTCTCAGCATTATAACGAGATGCGGACGTGCCGGGTAATTGCGTTTTAAAAGCTCGGCGTCAAAACAATTAACACCGTGTTTAATTAATGGTTGTGAATCCGAGCGACCCTCGGCGTTGTTTTAATGGCCGTCGGAAAAGTAAAACAGCAACCCCTTCTGCCTTTTTAATGAAGCCAAGACTATTCATTACACTCGCGCGCGCGGCGCCGGCAAAAGAAATCCATCCTCTGATATTTACAAGCAGGGGTTGCTGTGCGCTGGAAAAAGCACCAGAGAGAGAAAATAATAAAAGCGCGGCGGAGAGAGAAAGATTGCAGCGAGCAGAAATCTCCCCCGCAGCATCCGCCTCATTGTTTTACGCCTTGTTAACAGAGAGGCTCGATCTGCACCCTCTTTCATAACCCTTTCGACTTGCGGAAAGATGAAAATGTATAAGACGGAAAAGGGTTCTGAATTATTAACCGCCTAAACGCGCTCATTATTGCATTGCTTTGCGGCTTGCCAGACCATTTGATCCGACTGACAGATTCGATGACTTTTATTAAAACAATAAATTTGAATTGTAAATCTAAAGAATTTATTCTATACAACAGAACAATCAAAGACGGAAACTTAAAACACTATCTTTTCCATAATATACAGATTAAGAACATAAATAATAATAAATTATAATGCTAAATTTAAAATCAAACAGATAAAATAATTTTAAAAATTATTTATTTTATATATTTTTATTAAATATTTTATTTAATCTCTTTAATTTTTAAAGTTCATTTACAATTAGTAAAAAATTTTGAACAAATTTCATTTAGAACTGTTATATAATATAATTTTTATTTAAGAATTTTCATGATTAATAAATTTTAAACATCAGATGTGCAGTTATCTTATTTTAATAAACACTAACGGCTGCAGCCATGTTTAAACGTTATTTTCCTGGAAATTTCTTGCTTAAGAAAAATTGATAGATAAATAAATAAAATTTAAAAAAATATAATATAATTTCACCTTTAACAATGCAAACCATTTCTTGAGACCTGGAGCTCATCAGTCAATGTTCCCGTCCTAAGCAAACACGTCTTTTATCTTGGGAGAATTTTCAACATGACCGAAATGAAATATCGGCCAAATTTCACACTTATTTGACAAGGTGGGAAGACCCTCAAGCACGCGGCCCGAGTTTTACATGCGCTCATAAACTGAGGCGCGCGCTTGCCAGCAATAATTGCTCCTCTGGTCGCTCGACCCGAGGTGCATAAATAAAAATAAAAACAACGTTCCTCTCGTGAATAGAAAAATATTAATGTAATAATAAAGCAAGCTCCCTTGTAAGAATTCCCGTCGGGGGCGCCGTCGCGTAATTGCCAGCACACTTTCATTAGTCTTAATCCGCATAAATAAATTAGTCAGGCTGCCGTCAGCATATTTATTAAATTAGCCTCTCCACTGCATGCGCTGCATATTTTAAAGCACCTGGATTTAATTTTTGTAGTTCTTCAAAGAGGGTAATTAAAATAAATTGAAAGTGCCAACTTTTGTTACTCATAAACGTGATTTATCCCAAGAAGGAGAACAACAGATATAAAAGGGAGGAAAATCGCCGCCGGTATCTTAATAAATTTTAATTATCTGCTAAAATCTGTTGCCACTTAATTTGCTAAAAAGTCTCTCTCTTGCTCGCTCTGGGGCACTTTTTCCTCTCTTTTTCACTCTTTTCCTCTCGCTTTTATGTCTGTTTTTTTAATCATCTCCCAAGTGGTGCGCCGGCGGTCGCACAGTCTTCCGAGTTAATTAATAAAGTGCTGCCGAGCGAGGGAGAACCTCGGCTTTTCCAGCATTACGCCGAATTAACGCTTCGAGATGATGTGGTAATTATCCCTCGGCGACAAATTTCATTATGCAAATAAAATTATGAAAGGGCGCGCTTGAAAAAGTGATTAGCTTTACGACGAGAAAGAGAGACGCGGTAAAAATTTTAATCTCTTAATGCTGCACCTTGTTTTCCCAGGCCGCTTCCCCCTTTCGCCAGTGTTTTTGCGCCTCGTCTTTTTTAATCCCTTCAAATTAAACGGCGGGAGTGCTGCTTTTTTTAAGGAAGACAAATTATTTTCTTAATCGTCGACAAGATACTCAAGAAATAATTGAAAATTAAAAAAAAAATCAGTGAAAACAAACGATTTATTTTAAGATATTGGTTTTTTAGATTAAAACCAGCACAATGAAATTTGATCTAATTAAAAAGCTACAAAATTATAATTAATTTACAACTAAAAACATTATAATTGGTCGAATAAATTTCTTCAGCATATTCCTAATGCTTAAATAAATTATTAAAATATTCATTGGTTTTAACCCTAAACTGTCGGTCCACTTTAAATTGATTCATTAAAAAACTTGCACATTTTGTCATTCATGAAGATTTTAATTAAATTCTTTTGTGGAAAAGATGCTTTGACCGTAAACAAAAATTTAACTTCTTTAGCATGCTCTTAAAACAAACAAACAGGGTATCATGCATGCAATCTCTCTGTGAGTCTTGAAGTGCTCATTCATAATTCACTCAAGTACTGAAGGGTTGCATACATACACCGTACCGCAGCATTTATCCAAAGTGTATAATAACAGTCCTTCCTCCCTCCCCTGCATTCACTTGCCCGAAGCCACCGGCTACAAAGACAATGACGGGAACAATTAAAAGACAAACACTTGTGCTCTAATAGGCGGCACATCATTCAAATTGAAGCATCGTCATTATCCCCGTCTGCTGAAAGGGTTGCATACATACACGCAAGTTTACATCTTCTATCGTCTCGCAACCCTCCCTTTTGCAACAACCCCTCAAGGCACGTAATCTTGTTATCAAATGGAAAGTCTCAATTAAAATGTATAAAATATTCTGCTCAAAGATTTTTCGTCAAGATTTTTACTGAATATTTTTTTTATCTCTCGAGCAGACAGAGAGGATGGTATAATATGGAAAAAAGAAGAAAAGAAGCAGCTCTTGGCTTGGATGACGAGCACGGCAGCGGAGGAGAACAAAAAAATCAATTGGCATTTAGGAACAATGGGGGCCCTTTTCTCTTTCCTGCTCCGTCGATGATGATGCTCATGCAATTGCCAATCCACCCTCTTAATAAGTATGAAAAGAATGGGAAAGCTCGTGGGCTTCTTTAAAAAAAAAAAATATGAATAGCGAGCACAACTAATAATGAATTTCTTTTCTCCTTTCGGCGCACAATCAATGCTCCCCGCGTTTAATACAAAAGAAAGCTCGCAGGCCGCTTTTTGGCGGAAACGGCACAGCCCGGTCTCTCTTCTTAATTGATGCTGCTCTGATATGTCTGATGTTTGCGCCAACGAAGGCATTTTTATGGATTGCTTCTGCCGGTGCGCCGAGAAATGGCCAATTTTCCGGGCAACTTTCCTTTGTTTGTTTTCCCAGTCTCGCCTGTTTCTTTGGCAAAGAGGGAAACAAAAAGGAAAAGGAAAAATAAAGAGGGAGAACAAGGCAGAAAATCAGGAAGAACCAAAAGGTTATCAAGGGTAGTCTTGTATGGTTTCATAATTAATTTATTTTTAACTTGGTAGGATAAGAGCAGAAAAATATTAAGATTTGTTGTTTCAGTAAATTTTTTTAATAAGTTTTTCATTGCAATAAATTCAATGAAAATTTATTTATGCACCAATATTATTTGGATTTGCTTAAAATTCAAAACTAATAAAAAAAACTTTTAATAAAATAATAGAACAAAAATAAAGCCAAGCCTGAAAAGATTTTACTCATTTTTAAACATTCTAAATTTAACAATAAAAATTCTTGCAGGGAAATTAATCCAAATCTAAATTATTTTCCTCCTTTCATTTTAGATTATTCTCATTTACTCTTTATTCCGATGCAGAAATCGTTCTCTTTAGAGTGATAAACGCAACTCTTTATAACTGAGTAGCAGAGCATTTCTCTTGTCTTTTGCTCTGCCCGGACGTATGTCTGAGCACAAATGTGTGCAGAGTGCAAAACACGCCAAGAACATTATTTATTTATCCCCGAGACGCTCAATCGACTGCTCGGTGTCGACTGCACGAGATATTTCACGCCGTAATTTTGCTTTCATTTGCGAGCGCGGCGCCGCGCGGCAACAACCATATTCACTTTTCAGGATTCGCATCACCATTTGGGTGTCGCGCAGCACCACAATTATCCACGTTCGCTGCTTCAACCCAATAAGCCTCGGCTCATAATCCACTTAGGGGCCAGCAGCACTTTTTAACCGCAGCATTTCAATCTGAATCCGTTCAAGCTGGCTTTTTATTAAAAAGTGTCACCTCGATTCGACTAACAAGAGACCGTGCTTGATTTTATGAACAAACAAATAATACAGCAAATTGTTCGCCAAGCCTGATCTATTCCACAAAGGAAATTATAAAACTTCATTGGGTAAATAAAACTTTTGAAATTGAAAAAAAGGCAATCATAAAATTCATAAAAGATTAAGGCTTAAATTTTTCTGATAATATTTTTTTTAATTATTTAAAGTGTCATTTTTTTAATTAAGTTTATAATTTTGATTGTTTGAGCTCCAAAAATAACGCTAAAAAAAAGAATGATTTTGATTGAAATTTGCGAGATTGACAAAATATAAAATCGAAGGAAATACATCAAAATTTGTCTCACAAAGTTGATTTCTGGCCTTGATCCAATTTCTGAAAATTCGCGTTTAAATCGTTATTGAACAAAACCATTTCGATGGGCAAATTTGAATATTATTAAAGAGTGCATGAGCTTTCCCATAAAAATTCATTTTATATCTCTCGAGCCAAAATTTCGGCTCATT